GTCATGTTAAAAAAAAGCCAATGTTAAATATAATCATAGTCATCATAATAAAAACAATGTGAAAGGGGGAGGMGTTTTGGAAACACACATAATGAAGTGAAATAGAAAAGTGTCAAGTTGTTCTTCAGGATTAAAAATAGAAACTTGAATGTTATTAAGCTCAACTCTGTGGTGCTTAAAACACTGAATCCATTGAGTGGCAGATTATTTAAGATTTAAGTAATGYTTCTAATTTTTGATATTTAGCTATTTTTTTCTTGTAAAACTGATAAATTGATCTCTGTGCTTCATTACCTGTAGAAATATACTGTTCTTTAGTGTTATACTGTCATATATTCTAACAGAATCACTAACAATAGTTTTTTATTACTTCCATGTTTTTCTATTTATGCACCTTTGCACTGCTTGGTCTTGGTGTAATTTAATCTWTAACACGTTTCATTTACTCTCCTTTTCCCCCAGATGGACCACGACCCTCGCAATCCAACCTACATCGCCTCTCAGGGCCCACTTGCTTCCACCGTGGCAGACTTCTGGCAGGTAGGACTCATCTGCTCATTCACAGCCCTTTTTTTATCTGTTTTGTGTCTGCAGAAGAAAAAAAACTGACAAACTGCAACAGGGCTACACTCTGTGTCTTTTTGATTGTCAGTGCTAGAAAGGCATCCATCAGTGGGGTAATGTAGCAGAAGTTATAGGTGATAATTGATTTTGAAGAATATAYAATAAACAGGAACTATTAGTCACTCATTTGTCGTGTTTTATTAGTGTCAGCTTATCAAACTGAACAAATATAGATACAAAAATCACAAACCAATTTAGTAGCTTCCTCTTTGCAAGATATGTATGGAAGCTGTGGTTGTAAAACTCTCTGAAGCAGATATAAAAGAATATATCTACGTCGTAACAAAAAAATTGCATTCCTTTAACTCAACTCAAAAGTARTGAAACTAATATAGATGGTGGTAAAAGTGCTGCTGCAGTTCAGCTCAGTAATAAACTGTGTCACTTTTTGTAAATGCGCTACGGAATTCCAGAGTTTTGTTTGTTTCACACAGAAGTCGTTTTTGTTTGGTTTTAKCCCACGAAGGGCTAATGTTATTGAAAATATTGCTGCTATTTGCTCATATTAGCATGTTTTTTTTCTCAAAGCTATTTGCAATATTTCCATTGTCGATAAATGTCAAGGCATCGTGCCATTAATTAGCGTTTACRGGCTTTTGTAAAACACGTCAGCTCGTGTGGAAGTGTGCCGTAAATGGTGCATGCTTGCCAAATAGCATTCCTGTGTGCTAATAGGACAGGGCTGTAGTAATTAGTGGKTCCGTCACCTCCATATGGTGAAGTAACTCGAGATAGCCGTAACCAGGGTGTAGAAGTGTGAGGCATAAATTGTGGCAGAGCAGCTGGTCCTCCTCTCTGTAGTCTTCGTCGTGGACTGAGCTCATCTTGAGCCAAAATGATGGTGCTGAGTTTGAGTTTGGAAGCTTATGACTTGAGAACAATGTGGTCAAGTTTAAATTACTTTAGTCACAAACAGCAAAAGTTTTAAACCTAAATACAGCTGTGCTCATAGATTTTGTTCTAATTTGGTTTTCAAATCCCTCRGAGAAGCTCTCTGAAACTTAAAACTCCATTTTACCTCTTTTGGTTAAACAAGTACATTTTCATTCTCTTAATGTGCAGATGTTTTGGAGTCAGGTGCTGTGAAAAGGTTATGAACAAGAAATGTCTTACCTGTTGAAGATAGCGCTTTAAACAGCATCACCTTGGAGAAATAAACATTAATTCTGACCATGCTGATAAGCTAACGAGTATCAAGGACCAAAATAGATTTCTGCTTTCTTAAAACAACTCCAGCATTTTACAGAGGTTCACTTGTTTCTGCTCAKACAAGCCATCAGCTTGTCAGTTCAGTCAGAGAAAAACACTTTTTCTCCAATATGAAAAACTGTTCAAAACGMCGTCCACAGTACCTAATGTTGCTATCTCACTGGAGAACTGTTGGCAACCGAGGTCTAACTGAGTTCTGAGTGTTTGCAACTGCGAGCCGTGGAGTTACATTTTTATTGGGGCAATCTTTGAAAATCATGGCCTGTTTTTGTGTCCACTTCTTGCAAAACTGGACTTGTAACTGGGTCATGCACATTATTTTTATTGCCTATCTTAGCCCGCATTGCTTGTTCATAACCTGCACACAAAAACCCATGTCAAAATGTCCGAACCATCCTTTTAAAGACAAGCTTTTTAGTCACAAATTTATACTCTGAATCTTTCCAAACTACCCTAAGCGCAAAACCACAGCATGTCGTATAGAGCTTGACTGATGTTTTTGGTATCTTTTTTTKGGAAATTGGTATTCATTATTCACTGTGGCCAGCCATGGATTGTGGCAGAAAAGGAAAAAAAAACTCTTTACCCCATTAAAAGTAAACAAACAGGGGAAACACTGGCACTCTCATGCAAATGGAGCGTGCAAGAGGCAAATCTTTTTGCTCTCTCCTACCTAATCCACTCCAGCCCCAGGCACTGCTCTGAAAGGCAGCTTGGCTCTAATCCTCTGCTCCTCTTCCTCCATCCCTTCATCCTTCACGTTACTCCTTCTCCACCAATTCATCTGTCCGTCTCCCCTCTATTACCTTTGCTCTGCTGGGCCTTGCTTCCTCACTGAATTAAGAGCCAATCTGTGTGAGTTTATGAAGCAAAAGTCAGGTGTTTTGGGGAGTTGATGAATGGTCTTTGGAGTTTCGAAACTGTTAATCACATTTTTGTAAAAAAAAAAAAAAACAGATTGTTGCTGTAGGTGAGGATGAAAGATGAGGATCCACTTTTACCCCACTACCTGCAAATATTAGCAAAATTATACAAGACTAAATGGATAATATTCCCTCACATTATCACCTTGCCTAATCTCATCACATCCTGGCACAKTTGGCACAGTTGCTGCATAATGTGTCCACTGGGCCGGATCACAGAAGCTTGTGATTAGTGTATAGTCAAGGCCATTGTGTTTTTATAGCAATCATAAAAGCGGTGTTTCCTCCTCATTTTCCTAATGGCTGCCAGTGGGCCTCTATTTCTTTCCAAGGACACATTAGATTGTGATAAGATGAAATGGAGCAGCAGTGCAGAAGATGTTGTGATCTCGCTCAGATGACTGAGAGAGGGCGAAAAGAGGCGCCCCCCTACTGCTCCACCCGGCATTTATCATTTGTCATGCACAGAGAGGTGACATTTATTCATACTTCCTGCACGAAGATCAAGAAATCAATTTCACTCCAATGCACGACTTGAGTTTGAAATGCCGGCTGCTCAGTTCAGCTACATATTAGTGCTATTTGAATTTCATATGGATGCATATGAGGGAGTTTGTTATCTCCTGATGTGTTAGATGGATATGTGTTGTGTTTTTTTTTTCATGTGTAGATGGTGTGGGAGAGCGGCTGCGTTGTCATCGTCATGCTGACACCRCTGTCAGAAAACGGAGTGAAGCAGAGCCACCACTACTGGCCTGATGAAGGATCAGATGTCTACCATGTATATGAGGTATGCAGGAAACATGACAGAATCAATAAATCTGGAAAATAAAGATTTCCTGTGATACAAATTGGACTTTAAGTATTGAGTTTAATGCAAATTATTGCAGTGGGTGACACTAAGTTTGTTCTACTCGTTTTATTTTAAAAAGTGATACTTGAACAATTTATYTGCAAAATGTTTGTGAGGAAACAAAATACACATTTGAAGCTTTATGTTATTAGAATCTGTATGCAGCTGAGCAAGATGATTATAATCAAGAGTAATGAAAAACAGAGGCTGTGGCATTTCCCATGCTTCTTCCGAGTGTAATTAGAAATCTGTATTAAGAGGGTACAACACTTTCAAGTAAGGGTCTCTGCAGTCACTCAGTGGGAGTTTCTTGGGCGTAGTTTGGGTAAGTTATGGTTGGTCGGATTGACTGGTGGGCGTGGTTTGGGCAAAGGCAGCTGGGGAGACGTGTAACAATTCAGACTGTTAATTTTATGAGTATTTGTTTTAGTCATAACTAGGGGTGTAACGAGATCTCGTTGTACGAAATCTCGTGATACTAAACTCCCGCGAAATCTCTCGTTGAGAGGTAACTGTTGTCTCGCTAACAGTGTTGCCAACTTAGCGACTTTGTAACTAGATTTAGCAACTTTTTAGACCCCTCTAGTGACAAATTTAGCAACTTTTCCCGGTGTTTTTGGAGACTTTTAGAAGCTTTGGCGACAGCCCTTTTCAAGCACTTTTCTCCTTTTCTCCTCCTTTCCTCGGCGAGCAGCGAGCACCCCCGTGAGCCCCTCCCCCTTCCTAAAGCCAGACCAGAGCCCCAGAGAGAGATCTGATAGATGTTCATAAAGGGAAAAAATAATTACTTATTTTGTTTTTTTATTTATGTTGAATTTTTGGTAAGTTTAAATGCCATAGAATAAGTAAAGACGTAAAGAAAGGGAATATTTACTTATTTTTTTATATTTGTGTTCAGTTTTTGGAAAGTCCTGCATGAATGTCATTTTTTTATCTGATGTTGGAAGGCCATGCATAGTTAAAGCACTGTTCTAAGGTCTAAGGAGATTCAAGAAATCAGAAAAAGGAAGATATCAGTTGTGTTTGTAATTAAAAAATGTTAAAACAGAATAAAAGCATTTTTGCAGCATAAAATAGATCTTTAAAGTTTTCTTGAAACTAATATTAAAATCACGTCTCGTCTCGTCTCGCAAACTCAGTACTGTGTCTCGTCTGGTCTTGTCTCGAGAGTTTTATGTATCGTTACACCCCTAGATAACTCCAGACAGGAAGATGCTAACTGGAGAGATGTGTAACAATTTAAGTCGTCCAAAACAGCCCGAACCCACCTGGAAAAAGATCACAATTTTCGAACATGAATATTCATCATAAATTCAGACAARTGAGGTGCTAGCTGCACCAAATATGAAGTCAATAAGGCATATTTACATGTTCACAATAATTTTACCATTACTTCATCTTTTTAACTTTCCACCCACACCACAGTCCAACCGTTTACCCAAACTACACCCACAAGAAGATCCCACTTAGTGACTGCAGAAATCCCCCTTTTGAGATTKTATTAATAGTGTGTTTGAATGTGAGAGACAGGTTGACAGATATTTTTCAAATGTTTTTAACATMTTTTCCTAAATGTTCAGCAAAGTCTTCAGGGGCAGCTGGTGCCTAAAGCCAGTATCTTGCGGGGCTGCAACTGTTGGGGACAAGTTAGCAAACAGTGTTTGTTATGAGGTCTTCCAAATGTTTTTAATTTGGAAAACATTTATCACTTAATCCTGAACATGTTTAAATAGCCACAGAGTTGTTTCCTTAAATTCCAGAAAAKTCTGAAACGCATCGATGATTAATAACCAGTATTTAAAAACTGGTCAGAATGTGCCTCTTTCATTTCAAAGTGTGCTTAAGTACATTAAATCAAACATAAGGACAGCTAACTGGGTGGGGCACAGTGTGGTGGGCACAACCTTGAGTTCAGGTTTGCCATCCATGCACATGAAAAGAAGTTGTAACTTTTTTAAAAGCTGGCCTTGAAAAACTCAACCACGCTGGTTTCTTGGGCACAAACACTGAATTCAGTGAGACTGCAACTGAAAATGTGTCTATTTTCTCACAATTCTGAGTCTCTTAACAAGTGAGACACTAATGGAAATCTTCACCAGACATTTCTTCAGAAAAAATGCATTTTTTTCTTTTAGCAGCCTCCTACATCCTGTGCTTTTTTCTTAATGGACTTTTAAACTTTTTAACAGCTAGTCCTCTTCACTCAGTAAACTTCCAACCCAAAGACGTGCTGTGTCACTGTGTGAATTTGCATCAAATGTTTCATAATCTGATCCCCAAACTGGAACAGAACTTGTTTGGTGCTGGTGGGGAAAAWATAGCTAATTGTAAACAGCTTTTATTATGAAGCTCTTTAGTGACAAGGACATTTTTACARAACATTAAAAAATGGTGCTTCTAAGTTCTACAAATATAATTTAAAAAAAACATAAGGACCTATTTTTCTTCATTTATTAAGCCTGTTTTTTCTAAGCTGGTAGAAAAAGAAGTTAAGAAGAATGATTGAAATTACAGCACAAATTCTGAAGGTTTTCAGACAAAAGTATTCATTCTGAAAAAGTAAAACGGAAAAGCAAAAACCACGAATCGTAAAATTTTTACTTGAAACAAACATTGTTGGTAATGTTCTTTGAAATCCATTGAAGAAATCTCTTTATTTTAAATAGCAATCAAGAGAGAAAAAACTGTTTAACAGWGTTTATTCATTCTCTTAGTTCAGAAGCTTTTGCACATTCAAAATGAAATAAATTATTTTCACATTGTTTAGTTTCTCTCTTTGCTACGTCTCATTTGGTCACAAAATGACTCTAATTTAGGAGAGGAAAGCACACAAACTGTTACAGTGCAGCGGGATGTCTTGTTATAATTATGCATCTTTTTTTTCAAACTTTCATCAACAAAAACAAAGACAACTCCCTGGAACTGAATTGTTTTGCTGCCTTGTCACAAATCCCAAAGGATGAATCTCAAAAATCAAACTTTTCTGCAGTTTGGATGAGCCAACATGATGTAAATGCTTAATTCTCCTTTGTGTGTTTTTGTTTGTTTGCTTGATTTTAGGTCAATTTGGTGTCCGAGCACATCTGGTGTGAGGACTTCCTGGTGCGGAGTTTCTACTTGAAAAACCTGCAGACCAACGAGACTCGCACCGTCACCCAGTTCCACTTCCTGTCCTGGATGGACCGTGGGATCCCCAGCTCAGCCAGGACCCTGTTAGACTTCCGCAGGTAGAGGAGAGACCCTCAGAGGGACAGATCCTTTACAGCTGTCCTTTTAGACCATGCTTTCTCTTAATCACCTCCCCTTGTATATTCTGCATTCTGTCAGTGGCTCTCCGGTCCTTACCCCTGTTTTTTTTTACCTCCTTCTCTCTGCCTTTTTGGAGAATGGCTGTTCTKATAATAAGGACCCCCCGATTCTGTACCCATCCCTTTCATCCCGAGCCGATCTCCCTCACCTCCCTCCAGCACATGTGATGCAGCAAATTAACAGCCCCACACTGCCTGGCTTGGCTTGGGAAGAAACAGAAGAGAGAAAGAAAGAAAGAAAGAAGGAAAGAATAATAAAACACCTAATTCAAACACCCAATTAAATGAGAGCTGTCTCACCAAAAACACAGGAGGTGGTGTGGGGTGGGCTGGGGAGGGGAGCAGGAGGGCTGGTAGTGACTGAACAGCCTCACTCTGTTCTTCATATAATGTGTTCTGGCAGAAGAGCAGCAGTGCTCCTCTGAGAAAACCCAGGAGGGAAAAGGAAAAGCCCTTCAAATGAGAACAGACGCATCTGATTTGTGGATGGAAGTCTTTGGTTTCTAATGCAGAGTGAGAGATTTAGGCTCTCTGACAGAGCTGGTGCTGCCTCTCCAAACCGAAGCTCAGTTATCTATGTGTCGTACCAGCGAGCTGCCACCGTTCCCTCACGCTGCCGTGGGTTATTTTGTTTCCGATGAAGCGATTCAGAGTTATTTTGTTTCTGATGAAGCGTTTCAGAGGTCTCAGATCCACAAAGTGTGCTCTCTCTCTCTCTCTGACTCTCACGGTTTTGTGGTTTTGGCCAAGTTGGTATTTTGCGGTTGCCAGTGTCATTTTTGTGATGTTGCAGCTAGTAATATGAGCCCAGTTGCATAGTCACAAAAGTGATCATTGGAAACTGTGTCTCCTCAGCCAGGCCTGGGCACACACCGTCTTTTTCTCACCCCCTTCACCCCCTCTTCACTGCTCCTTCCTCTGGCCTGCATGGGAACTCCAACCACCCCGTACCATGTCTGACTGAGGGCGTGCTTTCATTTGATTTGACGTTGCATGGATTTCTTTTAAATTTCTTTTTACAATTTTAGGCATTTTATACTGTTCTAAATCTTAAAGGGGCGATATATTATGTGTTTCTCAGGCATATATTTAAATACAATACCATAATAAAGTATCTATGTCACCTTTAGCTGTTATTAAAATGCTGTTTTATGTTTAAATAGAAAATAAACTTATCTTCTCATCACTTCCTCTTCTAAACGCCTTGAAATTGGCCTCTGTCTCTTTAAGAACCTCCTTCCGCTTCTGTCTCGCCCATTTCGGTGCGAGGGGGAGGGGGCCATGATGCAGTTTACTTGCCATCTGAATCTGAAAAGAGCTTCAGTGAGTGAGAAGT